GCTGTGCTTTTCCAACCTCACACCTGTACCACATTCCTTCCTCACTGACCTACCTACCTGCTGTGCTTTTCCAACCTCACACCTGTACCACATTCCTTCCTCACTGACCTACCTACCTGCTGTGCTTTTCCAACCTCACACCTATACCACATTCCTTCCCCACTGACCTACCTACCTGCTGTGCTTTTCCAACCTCACACCTATACCACATTCCTTCCTCACTGACCTATCTACCTGCTGTGCTTTTCCAGCCTCATACCTGTACCACATTCCTTCCTCACTGCCCTATCTACCTGCTGTGCTTTTCCAACCTCACACCTATACCACATTCCTTCCTCACTGTCCTATCTACCTGCTGTGCTTTTCCAACCTCCCACCTATACCACATTCCTTCCTCACTGACCTATCTACCTGCTGTGCTTTTCCAACCTCACACCTATACCACATCCTTTCCTCACTATCCTATCTACCTGCTGTGCTTTTCCAACCTCACACCTATACCACATTCCTTCCTCACTGTCCCATCTACCTGCTGTGGTTTTCCAACCTCACACCTATAGACTCTGGCTTCCAGCACCTGCAGTCCTTATTGTCTTCAAGGAACTTGGTATACTCGCCTTTATTGGACAATGCATTGAGTATAGGTGTTGGGAGGTCATGTTGTGCCTGTACTGGACATTGGTTAGGCCAGATTTGGAACACTTTTCGGGCCGAATGTCCTAACGAAAGGTTTTGGCCTGAAACATTGACTTTCTGCTCCTCGGATACTGTCTGACCTGCTGTGCTTTTTCACGCTCACAATTCTGATCTCCCTGCTATAGGAAGGATGTTGTGAAACTTGAAAGGGTGCAGAAAAGATTTACAAGGATGTTGCCAAGGTTTGAGGGTTTGAGCTATGGGGGGGGTGGGTGGCTGAATTGGCTGGGGCTATTTTCCCTTGGGCATCGGAGGCTGAGGGCTGAACTTATGGACATTCATAAAATCATGAGAGGTATGGATAGGGTAAATAGACAAAGTCTTTTCCCTGAGTGGGGAAGTCCAAAATTAAAGGGCATACGTTTAAGGTGAGAGGGGAAAGATTTAAAAGGGACCTAAGGAGCAACTTTTTCACGTGGAGGGTGGTGCGTGTATAGAATGAGCTGCCAGAGGAGTGAGGCTGGTACAATTACAAAATTTAAAAGACATCCGGATGGGTATATGAATAGGAAGGGTTAAAAGGGATATGGCCCAAATGCTGGCAAATGGGACTAGATTTATCTAGGATGTCCGGTCAGCATGGACAAGTTGGACCAAAGGGTATGTTTCCACATTGTACATCTCTAGGACTCTATGACTCTACCTGGGTTACTGCTTCCTCCCAGTTCCAGGTGAACTGAGGGTTATAGATAGTTTAAGTGAGTGGGAAAAGATCTGGCAGATGGAGTACAATGTTGATAAATATGAAGCCATCCATTTTGGTAGGAATAACCATAAGAATGACTATTATTTGAACGGTAAAAAAAATTGCAGCATGCTGCTTTGCAGAGGGACCTGGGTGTCCTTGTGCCTGAATAGCAGAAGGTTGGTTTGCAGGTGCATCAGGTAATTAAGAAGGCAAATGAAATTTTGTCCTTCATTGCTACAGGGATTGAGTTTAAAAGCAGGGAGGTTATGTTGCAGCTGTATAGCACACTGGTGAGGCCACACCTGGAGTACAACATGCAGTTTTCATCTTCTTACTTGAGAAAAGATGTACTGACACTGGAGGAGTTGCGGAGGAGATTCAGTAGGTTGATTCCAGAGTTGAGATGGTTGGCTTATGAAGAGACACTGAGTAGACTGGGATTATTTTCACTGGAATTTAGAAAAACGAGGGGGGCTGGTCTTATAGAAACATATAAAATTATGAGGGGAATAGATAAGATAGAAGCAGGGAAGATGGTTCCACTGGCACGTGAAACTAGAACTAGGGGGTTCAGCCTCAAAATTAGGGGGAGCAGATTTAGGACTGAACTGAGGAGGAACTTTTTCATCCAAAGTGTTGTGAATCTTTGGAATTCCCTACCCAGTAAAGTAGTTGAGGCTTCCTCATTGAATGTTTTTAAAGCTAAAATAGATAATTTTTTGAACAGTAAGGAATTAAGGGTTACAGTGAGCGGGTGGTAAGTGGAGCTGAGGCCACGAAAAGATCAGCCATGATCTTATTGATTGGCGGAATGGGCTTGAAGGGCCAGATGGCCTACTCCTGCCCCTGGTTCTTATGTTCCTATGTTAGGGCAGTTGAGGAATAGCTTGGGCAAGGAGGTCGTTTCAAAGGAGTATCGTAAAGGAGTAGTGAGGTACGGGGCGGTTTAGAGAGTAAATTCCAGAACTCCAAATCATGGTGCAGCCCCCAACGTTGTGGTGTGATACCAATTGGAAATGTTCCAGAAACCAGAATTGGAGGAGCACAACGATATCAGAGTGCTGTAGGGCTAATGGAGATGACGACAAGTATTTGAAAACGGGAATGATGAATAGTCACTGGACTTTTCGAGACCTGCCGAGTTTCTCCGGCAATTTCTGCTTCTGTTTCAGGTCTCCATCATCCGCAGTTTTATTTTAATGAGAATCTCTTTCAAATTTGTCATTTTAAATTTTAAGTCCGTGTTGGACAGCAAGCACAAGGGTGATGTGAGCGCGAGACTTGGTGTGAGTAAGGACTCAGGCAGCAGCGTTTCAGGTGGGTAGAATGTTGGTGAGGAGTTGTGCTGTATGTTATTGCAAAGATGGAGATAGTCCTCATGATGGGTGTAAGTATGCAGTCAGAAGAGGACCAGCATTCCCACTAGGCGAACCAGACACTCACCATTTGTTATTCAATCACTCACAGGATGACAGCATCGCTGGCCAGGCCAGCATTTATTGCTAATCCCTAATTGCCCAGAGGGCAGATAAGAGTCTGCCACAAGAGTCACATGTAGGCCAGACCAGGTCAGGATGGCAGTTTCCTTCCCTAAAAGGGATTTGTAAACCAAATGGGTTTTTCTCCAACAATGATTCATGGTCATCATTAGACTCTTAATTACAGATTTTCCTTTATACTGAATTCAAATTCTCCCATTGACCATGGTGGGATTTGAACCCAGGTCCCCAGAACATTAGCTGTGGCTCTGCTTTAACAGTTTCTGCGACAACACCACTAGGTCATTGCCTCCCCTTAGCCCTCCCCTCCACCTAGTACAACACAATTTGAGGAGGATTGGTGTGACAAAAAAAAAACTGGCAGATTTGTAAAGAATCAGAGCTGAAACCTATTGTTTTAACCAAATAAACCCCATAATTGTTTAATAGAAAGGAAGGGACAAGAAACTCCAAGTCCCATCAACACAAGGGTATATTCACACGGTGACATCCAGAACACTGTCAGCCAACCAAATTCAAGCTTCCTTACGCTGGGAAAAGCCGGGTGGATTGCAATTGACTGGAATTTTGGTAGGCAGCGATGTTATTGGAGGGGTTTGAAATTCTTTAAGGGATTAGTTGTGAACAGTGAGCAATTGTCAAACTCTGATGAGTGTCAGTGAGTATTAGGATCACTCTGTTTGGTCAATGATTTCTTTTTGAGGTTTTCTGCAAATGGTCTCACATTCTTTCTGTTACTGGAAGTTTAATATCAGAGTTTGAACCTACAGCCCATTTGGGTGTATTCACACAGCATGCAGTTTGAGCTCCACCTATGGAGGCAGTGAATCTACGTACTAACTTGTTTCTTAAGTGTCCCTTATAAAGGTTCATGAGGGGCTTAGATAAGGTGAATAGCCAAGGTCTTTTCCCCATGGTAGGGGAGTCCAAAACTAGAGGGCATAGGTTTAAGTG